CCCAAGCTCTGTCCCTTTAGATGCCTAAACCAGCTCTTGACCTGCCCCTCCCTTCACGTTATCCAGACAGACCCCTCCAGCGCAGAGGACCCTCTTTGTTGCTGCCCTACCGATGGGTTTCTCAGTGTTGGGGAGTGTTTAGGCTGCCACAGGTTGAACCCTGTCCGAAAACGAGGCCAATCTCTGCACCAGTCTGGCCGTCAATCCCAGAGTTTCTGTGGACCGTGGATTCTTGAGCGTGGGCGGATGGATCGGGGTTGGGCAGTTAAACATGAGATTGATTAAGACTGGTCTTTTTACGCATCTCTTTCCACTGGCCACTACTGTGTGCTCTCCTTCACTGTGTGAACCGGTTCTCCATCTCCGCTTCATCCCTCCTTCAAAACAGTGTGATCGGCCAATAGACATTCCCCTTTACAGTCGTGGATGGAGGGATTTCTCATTGAAAAGGAATCAAGGACAAACTCTGTTATTGTTGCGAACTTTTCAATAGGTAGCATGTGTCTTCATAATGACATCAGTGTTCAGTAGATTCCTGTGTGACTATCAATCCTGTGTGACAACAAACCGCTTTTTCCCGAACTGTCCTCTGTTTCTTGGGAAATTTGAACATAGAACTTGCCATGAACTTTTTTCGACCCACAAGCTAACCTGGCTTCCAAATGGAGGTGAAGTTCAGATGGACTTACAAAGTGGTTTGGTCTCATTTTACAGGGCAAATAAATTGACGAATCCGTTGAGTGTAAAAATGGGGAAATGCTTATGGAACTTTTTTTTTGTTTGTTTTTTTCCCCCTTGTGATGTTTATTTGGGATTTTTCCTCGTTGTAGCACTTGTGTATTTGAATCCAGGCTTTCTGTATGAAAAACAAAAAAACAATGCCAAAAACACAAACCTGTCTACATTTGTGTTTTTCTTTTTGTTTTGTAACAGGCACAACATGTTTGTTACTGGCATATCTTAGCGGTTATCCTGCTTTCTGCTGATTCCATTCTCTCTTTATATTTGGTTACAGTCATGGATTAGACAAATCTGGAGCTCTTGCTGAAGCGGAGAATTACCTTTTTTTTTTTAAATAAAAGCCTGTCCGACTGACAGCATACAAGATTTTTGGTTCCATAAAAAGAATTTCTTCTGTGGCTTAATCTTGTTTGTAAAAAAAAAAAAAATTACAGTGCACAAAATCTCACAAAATAATTTCTTTTCATGCTCACAAAAAAAAGGGAGATTTGTAACCAACTTTGTTACCCACAGAAAATGATTTGGCATAGTGGATGGTTCTTAGTGCTAATAGGTCTTTCTGAATTACATTTAATAAAATAATAATAATGAATACTATTAAAATTGTTACCAATAAGTATTAAATATTCAGCACAACTTAAAGGAATAGTCTGGGCAAAAATTTAAATTGCCAACATTTGTTCACCCTTAAATTGTTCCAAACCTGTATGAATTTCTTTCAACTGTTTAACACAAAAGAAGATATTTTGAGGAATGTTGGTAACCAAGCAGTTGACGGAAGCCATTGACTTCCATATATGAAAGAAAATACTATAGAAGTCGATGGCTACTGTTAACTGTTTGGTTACAAACATTCTTCATAATATCTTCTTTTGTTTTTAGCAAAAGAAAGAAACTCCTACAGGTTTGGTACAACTTGAGGGTGAGCAAATGATTACAGAATTTTCATTTCTGGTTGAACTATTCCTTTAAAGGCTTATGAACCTGACATACAGTTTTACAGATGTGTTTTCCAGACACTCAGTCTCTTTGCAGAATGTCATACTTCTTGTATGTGTGCTTTGTCATATTCATGTTCTTTATTTATGAAATACTCCAATGATGTATTATGTTGCCAAGTGTTTAGCATACAGCAGAATACACTGAGTGGAAAACGGTATCCTGCGATGCAGTGCTCTCGACCTGATCTTCCATTTCCCTGTGTGACTAGTGGGCCGTAAGTAATATCACTTGTGATTAACATTTCCTTCTTGACTCATTTTGATCAGACTGCCAAACAAAAGACTTTTTTTTTTTTTTTTACCAAAATGGGATTTAAAAAAGCTAAATAGGATTTATTTAATAGATTCACAGATGTCATTTTCTGGAATCTATTTGTTAGGCCAAATTAGGATGAATTGAATTTATTTAGGTGTGTGTGTTTCTTTTTGTTTTTTTACCATAGCATTATCTGTACTGATATCACGAAGTACGATATTATGTACTATTTTCAGAGGCGGACAGTAGCTAAGTACATTTACTTGAGTATTGTACTTAAGTGCACTTTTTGAGTATCTGTACTTTACCTGAGTATTATTTTTTTCTGGGAACTTATGACTTTAACTTCACTACATTTGAAAGACAAATATTGTACTTTTCCCTCCACTACATTTCTATCAAGGTCCTCGAAGTAGAAAGTCGTTACTCTGTAGCAGCTTTGAAAATCAGTGGGTGATTTTTTTCTTCTCTAAAACGTGACTCTCTTTTTTTTCAGACAGTTTATCAGTAATCACTCTTGTAGGGCTACATGACGTGATTTCCAAGCATTTTTTTAACACTGCCCAGTTGCAAACGTGATATTTATTTACAACAATTCAATAATAAGAAGTTAATATTGTGGTATATATTAGAAACAATATTGTCTGATTTTGCTAAATTGTGTAGGTGAAAATATTACCTATAAAGCCACAGAAGAACTGTTGTGCATCTCCTAATAAAACACAATAGGTGATGGACTTGAAGCAGCACTGCACAGACTGTTCTGTGTGTGACAAAGTACCGCAAGAGCGATTAGACAGCATTTAAAAAAAAAAAATGTTTTTGATGTCAAATAGGTCTTGCTGTTTTGCTTTTTTGTTAAAGCAGTGTTGCTGTTGTAAAGTTATACATCTACAGTTGTGTTGCTGGGTTTTAAAGCAGGTTTGATTTTTTTTTCTTCCTTCTCATTCTGTATTTACTGGATTTCACTGTCCACTCTGTTCAAATGTGGACAAATGGTTACACATAGATTACGTCAGAGCTGTGTGAGATCACTACCATCCTGCTTTTGTGGGGGTGGGTAGGGGTGTTAATTTTTTCCCCCATAGGTTTTTAACATTCTAAAAGCTCTTTATTCCAAAGATACTACAAGCTTGTAGGTGTAATGTA